GAAATTAATACTAATATTTTTTGAAATCTTTATAACTTATATGATTTTAAGATTTTTAAGTGCAGAAAGTACATAACATTGTATAGCAAACCTGTTTGGTGGAGAGAATTTTTTAATTAATTGAATTAGTTGCCTACAACTTACATTTATTTTTAGATATTTGTCATGGTGCATTTGGGACGGCTCCATATGTGATGATATAATCGTTTCTCATGTATATGCATAAAACACAAGCAAATGTGCTTCATTTCTTAAACAGAAGGATACTTAAGACTTTGTGCTAATTCAGCATGTGTTGGTCCTATGACAGTCCAAGGTATGCAGTAGGCAATTAGCAGCAAAATATGCCTGACAAAAAACACTCACTTTTTTATTGATATAGTATGGATCCAGGTCCTCCAAGGGCTCTGACACCATCCCTGGAGGAATGTCTCCATAAATAAATGGAAGGTTCTTCCCAGCTTCCAAGTCACTATTTGGCTTTGGGCCATTTTCATCATCATTTTTGTCTGGTTTGGGATTCTTAGCCTTTTCTTCTGCAATGCGTCTTTCAATAGCTGCAAGAGATTCTCTGGTGAAGAAGTTGAAGCTGTCAGGTCCTGGTGGTACAAGCACTGTTTGCTCCATCTTGTCATCCTGCACATTTTAATTACCATTTACTCTCTGCATGTGAAAGTCCTACCCAAAAAAAAAAAAAAAAAAAAAACAGATATTTTAGGGAGATTAAGAGAAGATGTTAATATATATAAATTCTTGTCATGAAATATGAGCTAGAGAATTTAAATTTTTGTTTCCTCCTTAAATTGAAAGGTAATTCCTCAATAAAAATTCTTAACAAACATGTTTTCTGTGTTAAGTTCTGTTAAACAGCCCATGTTTATTAATTCTTGTGCTTTACTGATATAGGAACTGTGCTATGAGTTTGAAAAGTGGTCCAAATAAATCCTTAATCAAAGTGTCTTAGGCTAATGACCACCACGTCACTAATGGGCTATTCACTCTGTGACCCACCCAGAAGATGGAGACTGTGCCCATAGAGACAAAGGATAACTCAGTCAACAAGGATGGAATTAGAAAGGAGTTGTCTCTGAGAGGACATAACAGCTAATGTGCTAGGCCTGATGAATGACTTGATTTTTTGGCCAAGCTGACGAGAACAGTTTGTTGCAGCCAGCCTTAATGACCAAATAGTTACTGCTGTCCTGATTGGCCCTTCATCTATTCTGAGATTTGAGAAGATTGGAATTATGACCTGCTCACTTCATTGACCATGCTAGGTCAGCTTTCTTCAACACATAAAGAAAAATATGATTCAAAGTTGGACAAATGCCATTTATGTGACTAAGAAGGAGAGAAAACCTAGGCTGGAAAGAAATTACTGGACTGAGGCAAGGATGAGAGAAGATATCTGTAGGTACAGGAGACAGCAGGATTCTCCTATTTCAAGAAAAATGATCAGAAAGAAGACAGGGTGCTGTAAACTCAATAGGAACTGAGGTCTTTTTCTTCACTAAAGCAATAATGATATTCTTGCTGATTCTATAGTCCTATAGTGCTAACCATATTATGAAGACCCGAGGCAAAACTCTCAATTCTGTATAGCAGAGTCAGACCTGATCTGATGCCAAAGGCCAAATCCCAAACGTATTGTTTTAAGGCATATTTAATATGAACTCAAATTTCACAGATACTACTCAGCCAAAATGTCCCAGAGTCTAAGCTACGGCTTGGCCATGAATTTTATTTGGACACTGCATTAACTCATTAAGGCCGTCAAGCTATGATATAGTTAATTACAGCTTTGGTGTATATGAACTGTAATAATAAAGTTGCAGGCATAAGTATTTTGTGAGGAGTCCTACAGGGAGCTCAAATTTGAAGAAGTTTCCTAATGCTGTGAGGTTTATGACCATATTTTTCAGAGTGGTGAGCAGAAAGAAGGGAAGGCTCAAGTTTAAATTTGTACCCTCAATCTGTTAAGTGAACTTTTCAGAGGTTCTTCCAATTAACTCTGGGCCTGAAAGAACAAGCTGCCTGTAAATCAATGAAAAACTAATGTTCTGTCTAAAAACTCGAATTCCCTATATAGCATCAGGAAAATACTGGCATTTGTTTATTTGGAAATAAAACTTTAAGGATAATAAATACAGTACATTTCTCATAAAGGAAGTATTCAGATATATATATAAGGTTTTTATTTTTTAACTAATTAGTTTTTTGATAGAAAATATGTGTAAATGATATAAATTCAAAACATTTAAAAGAAAATGCAGTGGAAAGTCTCCCTTCCACCTTGTTCTCCCATATTCTACTCCCCTTCTCAGAAGCAAACCACTGTTACCCCTCTCCCAAATATGCACTAGGTATATGCTAACACATAAGTGTATGTATACTTATACATATTCCATTTTAAAGCACATATACAAACAGTATCTATTATACAAACTGTTCTGCACCCTGCATTTTTTTTTTTTTTTTTTTTT